CCGGGCGAGTCGCACACACACACACACACACACACACACACACCCGGGCAGTCGCACACACACACACACACACACACACACCCGGGCACACACACACACACACACCCCGAGTCGCACACACACACACACACACCCGGCACACACACACACACACGACACACACACACACCCGCACACACACACACACACACACACACACCCCAGTCCACACACACACACACACACACACACACACAACTCACCACACACAGAGTCGCACACACACACACACACCCCAGGTCACACACACACACACACACCAGGCACAACACACACACACACACACACCCCAGAGTCACACACACACACACAACACACACACACACACACCCCACACACACACACACACACACACACAGTACACACACACACACACACACACACGGGCTACACACACACACACACACCCGGGCAGTACACACACACACACACACACACACACACACACACACCTGAGTCGCACACACACACACACACACACACACACACACACACACACACACCCGGGCACACACACACACACACACACACACACCCGGGCGGTCGCCACACACACACACACACACACACACACACACACCCGGGCGAGTCCACACACACACACACACACACCCGGGCGAGTCCAACACACACACACACAGAGTCCACACACACACACACACACACACACACACACACCCGGGCGAGTCGCAACACACACACACACACACCTGGCAGTCAACACACACACACACACACCCGGGCGAGTCCACACACACACACACAGAGTCACACACACAAACACACACACACCCTGACGCACACACACACACACACACACACAGGCGAGTCGCAACACACGGGGCTTGACGAAGACAGGATCATGAGGTTGAATTAGGTTCAGTTTGGTAATATTAAGTTTGGTTAAGTTGGTTAATGTTCAGGTGAAATATGTCAACATGTTTAATCTTCATGTGATGCAAGGTTGTGTTAAAGATAATTAGGACTGAAACCACGGAATACGATATTTTAGGGACATGTATTAATTTCTCCCTGTCCAGGATATCAAACCCGAATCCTACACCACCTTAGTGAGACATAACCAAAATAGATCTTACGGCTTTTCATCCCGGGAATAGAAAGGCTCATTACTATCCACCACACAGCAATCCTTCGTCCTGGGAAATAGTCAAAATCCTACCCAAGACTCGTGTTTGTATCTCACTAGAGTGTGTGTGATTGTAACCGTTAATATAAAAGCTTTAATATAGTTGTCTTTTTTATGGTTCATCTAATTTGGAGTTGGAGTCGGAGTTAATCTATTCATTAGAAGTTGTTAAAGACGATATGAATTTAGGAGAAAGTGGCGCGTCAGATGTAAACAATGACAACTGAGCCTTACTTACCCCGGTTGGTAGTGCAGCCTCGTGCTGACCCGACTCCGCCACTTGTACACAACATCCTGTAGAGTCAACACCTTGTATACACTCCTGTGCTCATATTTATGCTGATCCAAACGCTTACTCACCTCTTACAGTTTCTTGGGTCCTTAACACATTCCTGCAGGTTGTCGTGAGGTGGTAATGTATTGTATCAGTGTACAGTAACTGAAAATCACAACAGGAAAATCTTCAATGTTGTTAATGTATTAAAACTGTTTTGGGGAAATTTTTTGTGCTTCATTTTCTGGACATATAGATTGCTTTATTATTATTATTATTGTTACTATTATTATTTATTATTATTCTTGTAATATTGTTATAATACTAATGTTATTAATATAATTATTATTAGTAGTAGCAGAGATAGAGAGAATCGGGGTGAAAGAGGTTATCAGTGTCATCTTTATTAACCCCCAGGTACCTCATAATTGGTTCGAGGTCAAAGGTCGTCCTGTCTGTAACCTTGTTATTGGAGGTGTGCGCGTGTATGTAATAATGCAGTATTGTTATAACCCAAATGTGAAAGGAAGACGTATTTTAGGGAAGCGTAGATGTGTGTGATTAAGGTAGGCGTGTAAGGGGGAAGGTAGACTTATCAAGGTGACCAGAAGCTGCGTCACCGTCCTCCAAACACATTTTACTGCCGAGATCACGAGCACTGAAAGAGTCATAATATTTAATAGTTGTTGTGTGGTGTATTGATTTACTTCGATTACGTGCTTAAAACACTCTGGTTACTGAAGCACTGAGATACGTAAGGAGATAATAATGATAACAGCAGCAGTACGTTAGGAGGGTCTAACCTTCTTTCAGACGAACCTCGTGAATTTGATGTCGGGTAGTTGATTGTGCAGGTGAACCCATCCATCCAACCATACTTAATTAACAGCAGTGGATATATTTTGTTCTTGTCTTGGTGGTCATTACGTGTTAATTGCAGTGGATGTTCTTGTCTTGGTGGTCATTACGTGTTAATTGTTGTTGTTATTAAGGTTTTTGTTTTGATTGTCATTAGATCTTGATTTGATTATTGTTAGCTCTTGTTTTGATTTTTTCATATACATAAATCCGACGTAATGGGTGAAAGGACACATGTCATCGTTGCTTTTTCCATACATACACGTAAATAGATACAGTAATTAGCTTCGTAGATTCATGTATTTATTCAGAAAACTCATCAGACAAGTTCCCATTGCTTCAGCACACAAACACAGGGCAGGTAAAGACGATTTTTTTTCTATTATGTGTCGTTGTGTTTATGGGTCACGGGTTGCCATAACGTCGTCCCAGTTAGCGGCCAGCCAGTGAGTCATACGTGTGGCGACGGGGAGGGGGAATCCTAGTCGTCACGAAATCATATTTGGGAGATAATTACGGTTTCATTCATTGTACTACACTGATACTTACATTTATTATGTCATAATTATAAGTGTCAGTCTGAGTAAGGAAGTAATAGCCGTGTTGGAACGGTGATGAGAAGATTATAATGTTTTTACTGTTGGTAGCGTCAGTCTGGGTTCTCCTGAAATTCGAAAATGAACTAAATAAAGTAAACCAAGTGTAAGAACTTAACCTAACCTCGGATATATTTCTTATTTGAATAATATGAATAGAAGTTTCACATCAAGGATTTAGTATGGAAATATTAGGAAAAAATATTGAACACATGTGAGCTGTAGGTCATGTACAATTATTGTTGCCGATTTGAAAATTTACAACGAAAACATAAAAAACTTTGATATGAAACTCCCAATTATATGCACAAGTAAGAAACGTACCACGAAGATACGATCAGTAAAGACTAATAGAGACATTTTTATTTAGGTTGTTTAGTTTGTTTTCGCTCTTCCGGGGCCCAACTCTGACCCTATCTCGGGGTTATAAACTTATATTATGTAAACAAAGTCGCCATTGATACATGAGAAAGTTAAGACTGCGAGTAAAAGTGTGCATAAATATCTGTTAAACTTGACATATATATTATTCTGTGTCTCGGCTTGGTGGCAGTGCCTTTCACCTCACCTGCCCTCTGACCTGCACAGCTGCGAGTGTGTGACCTGAGCAGCCTTGGTCCCCCCCTGCTCCGTCCCCACCCTGGAGAAACGCGGCTGTTATGCTAATTGATACTACCAGCTGACCTGCTTGATGTTGTATTTGGTTTTGTTGACTTACCTGGGGTCTGGAACAACTGGGTGGAGATGTGATGCCCTAAAGAACAATTACCTATGGAGTGAAGGTGTGAGGAGGGAACAGGTGTGGGGCAGGGAGGGAGGGGGGGGATGTAGCAAGGGTCCCTGTAGCCAAATGGCGCTCTTACCACCTCCTTATGCAACCACCTGCCATCTGTCGTGTTTTCCATCTAGTTCTTTTACACCTATGGTTTGTGTCACCTGTTTGTACCACCTATACACTGCCAAGTACTGTTAGTGCCACCATCAACCTGCCACCAGCTGTTAGTGCCACCCTCATCCTACCACCAGCTGTTAGTGCCACCACCATCCTGCCACCAGCTGTTAGTGCCACCACCATCCTGCCACCAGCTGTTAGTGCCACCACCATCCTGCCACCAGCTGTTAGTGCCACCACCTGCCACCAGCTGTTAGTGCCACCACCATCCTGCCACCAGCTGTTAGTGCCACCCTCATCCTACCACCAGCTGTTAGTACCACCACCATCCTGCTACCACCATCCTGCTACCAGCTGTTAGTGCCACCATCATCCTGCCACCAACTGTTAGTACCACCATCATCCTGCCACCAGCTGTTAGTGCCACCATCATCTTGCCACCAACTGTTAGTACCACCATCATCCTACTACCAGCTGTTAGTGCCACCATCATTCTGCCAAACTGTTAGTGCCACCATTATCCTGCCACCAGCTGTTAGTGCCACCATCATCTTGCCACCAACTGTTAGTACCACCATCATCCTACTACCAGCTGTTTGTGCCACCGTCATCCTGCCACTAACTGTTAGTGCCACATTCATCCTGCCACTAACTGTTAGTGCCACCATCATCTTGCCACCAACTGTTAGTACCACCATCATCCTACCACCAGCTGTTTGTGCCACCGTCATCCTGCCACTAACTGTTAGTGCCTCATTCATCCTGCCACCAACTGTTAGTGCCACATTCATCCTGCCACTAACTGTTAGTGCCACATTCATCCTGCCACTAACTGTTAGTGCCACCATCATCCTGCCACCAACTGTTAGTGCCACATTCATCCTGCCACCAACTGTTAAAGCCACCATCACCCTGCCACCAACTGTTAGTACCACATTCATCCTGCCACCAACTGTTAGTGCCACCAACTGTTATAACTATGGTGTATTAATGTTTATATTTGACACAAGATAGAAAGTACAGTACGTACCTGGAGTTAATGACCTTGTATTGACCTCTAGTAGTAACCTGTATTTGTTTTATTACTCCAGTGAGACCGTGTCAGGTTAATACGACTTGTTGATGATTTTTGTTTTGTTTTAACGTTGACTTACGGTAAAGGAAAAACATTAACATTGATTTATTTTCTTTCAGGTTGTGGACTGTCTGTATGGCCTGGGAGGACTTGTGAGTATTACTAGTAATTACTGTGTTGTGTTGAAGGATCATACTTATCTCTCAACCCCCTTGACTCTAGTGAATTAAACTACAGTATTGTGTAAATTATCTTTTAACCATTGAGTATGATAACTAAAGGCGTTTATTGCAGTGATTTAAGACCTTAAGTTCGGTATTTTAGTTCAGTGGGTTAAGTTAATCTAGTCCAATGAAAATCAAGTTTCTGGCAGAAGTTGACTATTTCTTGAAGATTTTTGAGGATTATTCTGCTGCAACAACTACTGAAGTACTCGGTTTGTCATGAAGGAGTTACACAGTTCTTTAATTATTATTCATAGAATTTTCGGAAGACAGTGTTGTGAGAGCTGTGTGAGGGTACAGTGTTGTTGTGAGAGCTGTGTGAGGGTACAGTGTTGTTGTGAGAGCTGTGTGAGGGTACAGTGTTGTTGTGAGAGCTGTGTGAGAGCAGTGTGCAGAGAGTGTTGTTGTGAGGGGCTGTGTGAGGGTGTTGTTGTGAGGGCTACAGGTTGTTGTGAGAGCTGTGTGAGGGTAACTGTGTGAGGGCACAGTGTTGTGAGAGCTGTGTGAGGGTACAGTTGTTGTGAGAGCTGTGTGAGGGCAGTGTTGTTGTGAGAGCTGTGTGAGGGCACAGCGTTGTTGTGAGAGCTGTTGTGAGGGTGTGACAGTGTTAGAGAGCTGTGTGAGGGTACAGTGTGTTGTGAGAGCTGTGTGAGGGTACAGTGTTGTTGTGAGAGCTGTGTGAGGAGAGAGCTGTGTGACAGGTTGTTGTGACAGCGTTGTTGTGAGAGCTGTGTGAGGGTACAGTGTTGTTGTGAGAGCTGTGTGAGGGTACAGTGTTGTGGAGCTGTGTGAGGGTACAGTGTTGTTGTGAGAGCTAGTGTGAGGGACAGTGTTGTTGGAGAGCTGTGTGAGCAGAGGGCACAGTGTTGTTGTGAGAGCTGTGTGAGGGTACAGGTTGTTGTGAGAGCTGTGTGAGGGTACAGTGTTGTTGTGAGAGCTGTGGAGGGTGTGAGGGTACAGTGTTGTTGTGAGAGCTGTGTGAGGGTACAGTGTTGTTGTGGAGAGCTGTGTGAGGGCACAGTGTTGTTGTGAGAGCTGTGTGAGGGTACAGTGTTGTTGTGAGACAGTGTTGTTGTGGGAGAGCTGTGTGAGGGTACAGTGTTGTTGTGTGAGAGCTGTGTGAGGGTACAGTGTTGTTGTGAGAGCTGTGTGAGGGTGTTGCAGTGTTGTTGTGAGAGCTGTGTGAGCTGTGTGGGTGCAGTGTTGTTGTGAGAGCTGTGTGAGGGTACAGTGTTGTTGTGAGAGCTGTGTGAGGGTACAGTGTTGTTGTGAGAGCTGTGTGAGGGTACAGTGTTGTTGTGAGAGCTGTGTGAGGGTACAGTGTTGTTGTGAGAGCTGTGTGAGGGTACAGTGTAGAGAGCTGTGAGGGCACAGTGTGTGAGAGCTGTGTGAGGCACAGTGTTGAGAGCTGTGTGAGGGTGAGTTGTTGAGAGAGGGTGTGAGGGTACAGTGTTGTTGTGAGAGCTGTGTGAGGGTACAGTGTTGTTGTGGAGAGCTGTGTGAGGGCACAGTGTTGTTGTGGAGAGCTGTGTGAGGGGCACAGTGTTGTTGTGGAGAGCTGTGAGGAGGGTACAGTGTTGCTGTGTGAGCTGTTGTGAGAGCTGTGTGAGGGACAGTGTTTGTTGTGAAGGGTACAGTGTTGTTGTGAGAGCTGTGTGAGGGTACAGTGTTGTTGTGAGAGCTGTGTGAGGGTACAGTGTTGTTGTGAGAGCTGTGTGAGGGTACAGGTGTGTACAGTGTTGAGAGCTGTGTGAGGGGTACAGTGTTGTTGTGAGAGCTGTGTGAGGGTACAGTGTTGTTGTGAGAGCTGTGTGAGGGCACAGTGTTGTTGTGAGAGCAGTGTTGTTGTGTGGAGAGCTGTGTGAGGGTACAGTGTTGTTGTGAGAGCTGTGTGAGGGTACAGTGTTGTTGTGAGAGCTGTGTGAGGGTACAGTGTTGTTGTGAGAGCTGTGTGAGGGTACAGTGTTGTTGTGAGAGCTGTGTGAGGGTACAGTGTTGTTGTGAGAGCTGTGTGAGGGTACAATGTTGTTGTGAGAGCTGTGTAATGGTACAGTGTTTTTCCCTTAGGCTCAAAAACGAAGCTTTGACGGTCCAGTTATTGGTGTTAAAGTTGCCATGGAGAACAAGAGGAACTTTTCCCAGGAGAAGCTAAAGGAATCGAATAAGATCATTGGTCTACAGTATGGAAGTAACAAAGGAGCATCACAGGCGGGCATGACAGCATATGGTACTGGACGACAAATTATCCCTGGAGGTTAGTGTTTTTGTGAGGTTCTGTACTGGATAGGTAGTTTGAGAAAATTTTGTTTGGCATTGTGGTATATAGTATAGTATACAGGAGGGTGATTCAGCAAAGAGACCATTAAATTGGAGGATGAAATCCTTGGATAATTATCCAATGATTTCATCCTCCATTTTAATGTATTCTTTGCTGAATCACCCTATTTAAATCATTCTTATCACCTTCCTACAATATTGTACAGGATGCGGTACTGTACAGTATATACGGTGTATAAATATTAAGCACAATTATTGTACAATACAGTACAGTACATAGTCTTCCTTACTACCGTGATTATATTTTGCAGTGATATTGACACTTCTCAATTTTTAGTTTATATAATTTTGATGAGAATATTCACTACGTACATTTTCTTGTGTTGTATAGTGCACTGTAGGCTAATGAACTGTACAGTACATAAGAGAAATACTGACATCAGTGCTGGGAGAAGTGTTAGTGTGACCTATATTTTAATTGTTTCATTGGGTGTGTCGTATATTTTGAGGTCAAACAGGCCCAGTGTATTACACTTGTTGATTTATGAATTTAATTAGAATGGATTTTATTATGAGAACTATACGGTACAGTACAGGTACTTGGTATTTCAGCTCAGAGTTTATAACAAGCACATTAGTTTCAAATAATGGTGATCTTGCAGAGGCCCAAAAGCAGGTGACTACAGATGGTCAAAAAATCATTGGACTGCAATCTGGGAGCAACAAGGGAGCATCTCAATCTGGTATGACGCCCTACGGAGCTCCCCGCCAAATCATCCCTGATGGTAGGCTGAACTAATTTTACTGTTCCTTTATATTGTACACTCTGAATTTGTTGATATTTTTAGAATCTTTATATAGAATGTGTTTTGTTTTTAATATAAACATGTGTAGGTTTTTCCAATTGCTTATAAATGCATTGACACTATGCAATAGATTGAAGTAGAAGTTTTTAAGTCTATTTGTGTGGTTGACTAACAACTCCCCTAATGTGATTGGTATATAGATATTGTACCATATAGTAAGCTGAAAACATGATAATGGGTCACCTTCAGCATTTTAAACCTTGTCAAGTGTACACAAGGGAGAGAACAGATGTAGAGAAAAATGAAGTAGTTTACCCTGAAGGGAAAGCACCAAGACAGAAAACATGAATCTAAGGCAGACTCATGTGGAGGTCAGTACCGTATGTGGGTTGTTTTGTGGTAAGAGTTTATGTGTGTGATTGAGGCCAACTCCTCTCTCACTTACCACATGTCTCTATCCTTGAAATGTGGTTGTAACAATAAGGCTCTTAAAGTCCCTAGCCTTAAAGTCCCCTTTCTTCCTACACCGTCAGTTCTTACCTTTTCATTCCTTCAAATTCCCTTATATTGTACACTTCAAGTTCTGTCTGAGTGCAGATAAAAGATCAAGAAAGCCTGCTCCTTTAATCAATCTTCCTGTTCGCCACCTATAAATGTTTTTTTTATAATTCGTTACACTATTCCCGCCATACTTAAGACATTTTCTTCTTCAAGTATAACACTTTTTCCCTTTGCAGTACCTGTAATACACATTTTCTTCAGTTGTTCTGTCGCACATTCCCTGTCATCATTAGTCATGTACAGTACCATGTCATCTGTACCTCCTGACTTACCGTTTATGTGTCTTTTAGTTTAAGTCTTGGTTCCTCTCTTGTTATGTCCTCTCTACACTTGGGAATCTTTTCTCTCCTAATACAGTATATAGGCTGTGAAGGTTTTTATTTCTTTTCATTAGTCAGATGCCCTTTAAGAATTGATAATTATAGTATTGTGTCCACAACCTAGGATTGAAAGCATTAAGAAATTAGACAGCGAGAGTGAGTCTTATAGGAAGTCACACACACTTTCATTTTCCAGTTCTTATAATCCAGTAATACGTTATTTTGCAGGTCATCACCACAGGAATCGTGAGTGAAAAGTTTACTGCTCCCTAGGAAGCACAAATATGAATGAGACAACAATAGTGGTGTGAAGTGTTTCTGGACTGGTGCAGTGATTAATTTCGAGTATTCTCTCTCCTGACATGGTCATCTGTGTCCATAAATCTTCCCTGTAACAGTACATCGGTGCTACAGATTCTCTTGGCCAGTTCATCCTCAACTGCTATCAACAGTTTATAGAAATTATGGTTGACAAACACAACACACTTTGTGTTTCAAGTTACTGGATACTATCACAGGTTGCATGAGGGGATATAAGTAAGGTATACTGTACTGTATAATAGGAAGCCTAAATACCATAATTTAACCAGCAGTGGACCATGAAACTGACGATTCATACTACAGATAAGTGATTCCAATAATCGACTGCATTTTATGGTTGATTTTATTGCTAGTTATCAGCTGTGTGTGTAATTTTGATAGACGAGAAATAGATCAGAATTAGTAGTCATTGTAGAGTAAGCATATTTTCAGCTCTGGGCTTGATGATATTGCATAGAATAGAAAAAAATTACCTCTTCTCTGTGTTGAAGTGAGAATGATTTAAAGATTGTGTGATAATCATACAGTCTTAAGAACATGTCACAGTAACCACAGGCAGTCAATCAGTAAGAGAAGCCTCGCCTACATCCTTCATGCAACTGTCTTCTTGTGTTTGATTGCTGTTTGCTTTAAGAGTCATTGAAGGTTAACAAATTCCCTGGGTGGACCTCATGATGTTACAGCTTGTGTGCCGCTTATGATTGCAGTTTTTCCAGATTGATAGCCTCCCCCCCTAAAAGAAACTCAGCCTTCCCTGACCCATACTGTACCAGCATAGCTACATATGGAGTGTTACATGTAAACATTTGCCTTGTAAACTTAGGTTCTAAATAAGGTCCTCTTGCGTTACAGATCACGAGCGGTAGAGTGGGGTCAAGTCCCTGTCTAGCAGACCCACCATGCATCCCCTAGAACACTGGTGTCTTTAAAAAAAAAATTATCTTCTTTTTCTTCTTCTTTTTCTTGACACTGCTATTTATCTGTTGAGATCATGGATGCGCTTCTATTAAAACACTGAAGACTCATTTTCAAGCTCATTGTCTTCCTTACCTTAGCTAGCATCATTCTGAATTTGCTTACATCACTGTTACACTTGGCATCCAAACATATGTTGTCATGATTTTATTTAAAGTTATCTCAACAGTCAGAACTAAGAAATATTTTAACTGACAAATTCAGAAATGATTGTAAAATATTTTAGAAATGCATATATTTTGCTGAGCTCTATTTTTATATGAAGCAAATTACTTTCAGAGTTTTTTGTCACCACAAATAAACTGATTCTGGACAACATTTATGTAAATGTTTACTTTAGTCTCAAGAAAGTTTTAGTGTCTTGGAGAATTGAAGTACTGTACTGTAAATCATATCCTAGATGATTTATTTTCATCTGTTAGTGAATGAAATAAAAAAACTTGTATGTTAAAGAGACAAGATATTTAACATAAAAACTAAGTCACAAATAAAAGATTCCCTGAGAAATAATTTATTGTATTCATCACTGAACAAAATCTTCTGATAAATGTATTAATTATGTCATTTACAGTAAAACTTCACTTTTCTCTTCCTGTTATTATCATTAATAATTATTGTAATTATAATTTCCTATTAAGAATACTGTAATTGTACTGTATATTACATATGTACATTTTTTTTGCCTGGCCAATCTAACTCAATGTCACGGATCATCAATTTTTCTGCTAAAGTCGAAGATTTTTTCAACGTCTTGTACTGTATTTCTTTTGCTTGGATTTCTCGCCACAGACTATTGACAATGCTGAATTAAAACCTGATTAATTTTTAGAATACTACCTGTACCACAGATTAGAATGTGTGCTTATCACATGTTTGGTGTGTGGTAATGTATGATACCTCCTTTACCTTTTGCTTTGACATTCTTTGCATCATTTTATTTTATATCAATATTTTTTCTTCATTTTAGATCTGCTCTAATACAAGGAAAAGCTCAAAATAACATTACCCTGAAGACTGAGGCAATGGAGTATGTGCTGCAAAGAAATAGATTGTGTTTTTTGTTTTGACATTTTCAATGCTATCGTGTATTTAAGTTCAAGTCCGTGCATTGTTTAAAATCCCAATGAATTATTATAGTGTTCATACAGTTCAGCAAGAAGTGATGAGTTGCATTTACTGTATAAAGTCGTGTTAAGAGAGCCAACTATTTAATCATCCAAAACAGGTTGTCCTGGTCATCATCCATAATACTGTGCTGCTCTTGTCATCTTTCTTAATCCATAAACTTACACAATGTTGGTGATTTTGTTGGAATTTTTAACAATGTAAGAATAATTTTTTATGCTGTTAGAGTCCATTCATAAAGAAATGTGTACTTTTTTTTTTTATCCATCCTTAATCCTACATACTGTACTCTTCCATTTTAAGTTGCATTTCTCACTTCCATTTTAAGTTGCATTTTTCATCTTGCCTTGCATTTGTGATTCCCTGAATTTTTTTTTTTTAATTGCAGCCAAAATATCAAATGCATACTGACTGTAGATAAACCCATACTGAGTATATTTTCGATATTACTGTATATGCAATTGTCTTCTTATCATCAGCATTATGCTCTTCCTTTTGGTTAGAAGGGATTCATCACATTTTAATGAACATAATATTAATTGATAGTGATAAGTAAGTTTGAAGAGTCCTCTATTGTAAGTTTTTTTTTATGTCCTAAAATTTTACTAATTAATGTTAAGTGTTTTTACTGTGGTTCTCAATAAACATTTGGCTGGTTTTAAGCTTTTATTCACCTTGATGCCTTATGACCTTCTCTTCCACACATCTTGGGACAAACACATTTCACTGGGCATTGATCAAGCTGTGTTTGTACGACCAAAGCACAATACTACAGAATCGCCTATAATCCACCATTTCTTACCAAATGCTCTCCAGTAGGTAACTTGTGTACCTGACCAGGACAGCTAAATCAACTACCAGGAGAAGGGTAGAGCCACTGAGGATACTATACTGACCTGACAAACTCCCCAGTGCTACACAGACCATAGGTGGAGGTAGAGTTTAAATGCTAATGAAAGTCTTGGCAAATGCTCAGGACCTTTATTGTAGGATTGATGTCAGTGATGTTCCTCTTAGATAAGTCAAAGAAGAAACGATGCCCCTGACTCCCCTGAGGTCAGCGACTAATAGTATAGAGGTTGTGTAAGACTACTGTACTTTGGTGGTCATGAATGATAATATACTGTACTGTATTGTATTCATATTGGAATATCCTGTTTTACTTTTATGATGTTTTACGATGGGTTATAGGCAGGACTCGTGGTGAGGCGGAACAAACCAGTAGTTCATGCCGATTGTTAGCCTTTTTTATGACACAGTACATTAATGTTGTTAAAAAATTCAAACCAAACCTGTAACAAAGCCTCAAAAAATTACATAACAGATTAGGTATTATAAAAGAAATATGCCAGCAATGCATGGAAGCTGTTGTACTGTACAATTTTATATATATGTAAGTACTTAAGCCTGTAACTCGCAGTACGGTATTACTGAAATTACTTTTACTTTACTTTTACTTTATCCTCTTTGCCACTGATTGGCTCGTTAGCTGCTTGGGCCTTTGGTCATGTCTCTTGATACGCACTGTTGCCAGATACTGGGCATGCACTGGTTCCTGAATATATTCGAACCTGCTCCAGTGTTGGTCAAGTTTGGCCTTGAATGAGCTCACACTCACTGCTGTCACAATGCTCTCCAGCAGATGGTTCCAAGAGTTCACAATTCTCACTCCGAAAAAATTTGCCCTCGCAGTTTTCTGGACTTTCAATCAATTGACAATCTTGAGTATACCTCAGGGACCAGACGGGAAGCACTTCACTCTTGAAGATTGTGACGAGTGACAGACCATCCAGATATATAAACGACTTTCTTATAAAACCTACTAGTTTCATTGCCTGATGCACCTTCTCACAATGGCCCGAGAATTTAAGTTCATTATCGATATACACACCCAGGTCCTTTTCACATTTGGTCTCATTAATGCAGTTTCTTTGTCTGTTAGGACATGTGATACGCCTCCTTATTATTGGTGCGACCCAGGTGCATGCTTTTGCACTTCATGACTGTATAATATGGACACAAAGTAGTACCTTAAGCTGTGTATACTCATATTACCCCATTAATTATGTATAGTAAAGTATTACAGAACATGTATTAATCCTATGTAATATTTCCATTTATTATGCACCATGTTATGTATGTGAATTATCATATTTACATAGGTATTCAGCTTGTGAATGCTGGCATCTGTACATGCCAGTGCGGAGTGATACAGAGAGTTGAGATCACTAGTCCTTATGGTGTGGAAGCCAGTTTCTTTGTTCCTCTGTATATATCTCCCGTACAAGAATAAGAACCTATTTTCAAGATAAGTGTTTGCGTATACCCTCAGTAGTGTAGAACATTTTGGGGGTATCAAAGAAAAACATAGATGGTGCAGTGAGATTTCTCAGTGAGATTCAGAGTGAATTCAGCCTTCCCGCTGGACTGTGTTAATGGCGTCTCGTCTTCAGCTTCGCCAAGGATTTACAGCCAGACTACAAGCCTCAGGACTTACAGTGTTGTGAAGTGCTATGCTGTGTACAGTGCTGTGCTGTGAAGTGAAGTGTTCTGTGAAGTGCTGTGTTTTGTATTTAATCAGAATTGTCTGTGCAAACTGCAGTCAGATGACTGAGGGAGCTGCCCAGCAGTACAACCCTCCTGCCTACTGTCATTGGGTGACTGAGCAGCGAGCAAACTTCGGTTCGACTTGCGCCCAGCTGCCTCTACGTCTGGCAGCGCGCCAAGCCTCCCGGCAACGAGCCATACACACACACTCCCACTCACAGGCCCACTTTATTAAATTTTTGTGTATTACTTTAGACTTCTGTAATTCTGTGCATAGATTACGAGGGGTTGACCCGGTCTCTTGCACAGATAGAGTACAGAAGCTGCCGGCATGTCTCACAGGGATCAAAATGATACCTTGGACGATGGGGTTATGAGTTTAAGTTTGGGAGATCTCTCCCCACCCACACTCAGGCCCCACGCTCCCCACAGTGACAACGCCCAATCACCCACAGAATCTCCTCGTTCGTCGCGAGCAAGCTCTCCTGCGGTGCCTGTGTCCACAGATCTCCTTCAACTGATTAAGTGGATGGAAACTTCTCGACGCCAGGACTATGTTGCAAGGAGAGAAGAGGAAGAAATTCGGTACAGAGAGTCTGAAAGACGACGCCACGAAGATGAACAAAGACGCACAGAACTAGAAGATATACGTAGAAGTGAGGATGACCTGAGAAGAAGAGAGGATCAAGCCAGATTTGAAGTCTTGATTTCCCTGTTAGCCTCCCCACAACGATCTACTGTACAAGTTTCTTCTGCTTCTACTAATGCTGATACGACTAGAGGTACTGGTACCTCATCTCCCAGAGTCGGTTCAACAATTCCTCAAAAGGCTGCAGCACAAACGCCTCCCTCTCTGAAGTCTGACGCTTCTTATCAGATATTTCGGGAATGGCGTCGACGTTGGCAAGACTATGCAACAATGGTTGACCTGTCAAGTTTACCACAGCCTAAACAGATGATACAGCTTCGTATGTGCTTGTCCTTAGAGACACAACGTACTCTCGAGCACACACTTCAAGTGCCTCCTACGACAACTCTGACTGTAGAGGCCGTGCTTGACAAGTTACAGGAACATGTTAAGGGACAGCGCAACGAAGCACTTAGAAGAAGAGAACTCCTCCAATGTAAGCAGCTTGATGGAGAATCTTTTGATGCATTTTTTGTAAGACTGAAAAGATGTTCAGAGGAAGTTGATGTTTGTCCTGGAAATTCTTAAGTTTGTGAAGAGACACAACTCAAGACAATCATTTTAACGGGTATTCGAGATGAAGAGCTAGTTCAGCGTCTCATTTCACTTGACCCCACTTCCTCCCTTCAAGAACAAAATGTCGAGCGTACGAGGCCGCCAGGTGTGCGACTTCAGCTTTACGTTCACAACCTGACCAGGTGAGGGCGGTGTCTTCCTACAGAAAGGGTAAGAAGCAGCATGGTAACCCCACCCCTCACCCTCCAGCTACACCTTCAGCAGCAGCTTTGTGTAACAGCTGCACGAGACAGCATGATGCCTCCCAGTGCCCAGCTGCTCAAAGCGTGTGCAGAAGTTGCGACCGTCAGGGTCACTGGGCTTGCACAGTCAAGTGCCCTGCTAAGCAAAGTTCAGTGCAAAAATCTGGGGGGGCTTACAGTGTCCCCCCCCCCCACCAAAAAAAATCCCCCAGCTGGATGGGGCTCGCTGTGCTCGCCATGTTCCCCACCCACATCTTTTGATATTCCTGGATCCGCCCCTGTGTTCACCAAAGACATTAAAATGGATTCTGACTGACAACTCTAATTTCTGCTCGAGAATGTTTCTAATACCATTTCTGCCTATTAAGGTGTGTATAATGGATAAAGAGGCATTATATATAGAACTATAAAATGTGTAACGTGTAACCTGCTCTGGTATTCACCTTCCACAACAATAATAGGGAAATTATTGAAGTGGTGCTGCTAAGGTCATGTTTGTTTTCCTCTCGTCTTTTGCTAGGCTCTTGTTCCATCATTTATTAACGTAAATATAAACAGATAAGACAAACTCGGTAATCATGAGTCTAGGAAATGTGTATGTCTTTACTACACCCAAATATATGAGCAACTATTGTTTCGTTAAACAAATATTGTCTCAATAAACTTCAAACACACCCACACACACAGGTTAAAAAAATTGTCGATCAACAAAAAATAATTTGCTAAAGCATTTTGGGACGTATGAGAACTTAAGTACGGCCCCAAACTACCCAATTATGATTATTACTCGTCCAAAATATCCCACTCAGTAGTTACGGTAGTTTGCTGACAATGGGTGGCACTCATTACCTCACGCCCACTGGCTCAACTCAGTCGTGGACGGAAAGAGGACGATGGCTGATATATCTTTTTGGAAGGTAAGGTTATGTTTAAGGAAGGTAAAGTAAGGAAGCTAAACTCCCTTTAATTTGCGTGTATTTTTCAGTGCCGCCGTTCGCTACGTTATCTAGCGTTGACCGACATAACTAAGGCATTATTCATAGAAAACGAAAGATGCCTTAGAGCGGGCTAACTATATTAACCTTAACGTATATATAATCTGGTATTTACATATTTAAATTTATATATTTATTTATACTTAATTTATTCATTCATGAAGGAAACTTAACCTCATTTTCATTTGTAAAACGTCATTCATTCCAAAATGACTGAAATTACGGTCTCGAGTATTTTTTCATGGTTAGACACTTTTTTACAGGTTCACTATTGTCGGATTATAGAGGTATAAAGGTAAACAAGATTGTTCATATGCACTTTATAATAAAAAAACCCCAAGAAATACAGAAAGGGCTGATTCATCATAACAATCTTATCCATGTATCTAACCTAACATACGTGTAAAGGCTTCATTCATCCTATATAAATTGTGTTGTCAATGTGTACAAGTCATGTACTGTAAGTTAATAAGTGACTTAAAATATATTTTTTATTACTGTTAATGATATTTAAATAAAATGTGACTATCCTAGCCCAAATTGTCACATTTTCCTGTGACTTTTTTTTTCAACGACTATTTCCATTTACCACCTCACTAATCTGGGGAAATTTCATATTATTATTATTATTAAAACTAGAGGTCAAGTTTCATAATCTTCCTCAAGCTG